CCATCATAAGCTTTACAAAAGGCTTATGTAATTTTTTCAAATCAGATTGTCAATGTTGTTTCTGTTATATTCTTGTCAGCTTTTCAGTGAAATAAAATGGGAAACTGTCGCTATCATACACGCTCTACACGAGGCCGTGTCTTGCATCGTGTATATTAGATAGGGCAGGCTTATATTGGATAGGTCAGTCTCTGTTTGGGGTTGCCTCCTCAAAATTTGATATGAAATGTACACTATTATGTGTATTCGCGCTATACGAAGCCGATTGAGAGTTCTTTATCTTTTGCGCTCTCCTGAAATCTTGTACAGTGGATCCATGGTGGAATCTAGTTTTGTTTGTCACTTTGATTATCGCTTATTGTGGTGCTTAGATTTTTTACTGACGATGAATCTGTTATGTATAGCGCTGATAGCTTCGTTCGTGTCTCTTCAAACATCCGAGTATTAAGCCTACGTATCTCGAGAGTGGGTCAATACTTAGCTTCTATAGCATACATGCACAAGCTCATTCACAAAGCACTAAATTAAAATCATTATATTCATATTTGACATGCATTGATGTATGTTATTACAGCAGTCAGTAAATGGAGATATACGATCGGGTATGGCATAAAATCGAATGACGATGTGTTTCACCATCAATTTTTTTATAGGACAAATAAATATTTGTACGTCAGTAATAAAATATATCAATGCATGTCAAATATGAATTGAGTAATTTTAATTTAGTGCTATGTGAATGAGCCCACGCATGTATACTATAGAAGCTGAGCATTGACCCACTCTCGAGATACGTAGAGGCGCTGACCGTGTAGGATATTTGCAAAAAGAACTATGAATGTAAGTCACTGTGGATATCTGTGAATTACTACCCCCGCTTATTCGTGCACAAAAATGACGTTTTATTAAATGCACATGACCGATGGCATAATACAGTTCAGTTCATAGTTAGATATTACGTTAGCATTATTAACAGAAACGTCAACGTTACATTACTCTCTTCAACGACAATTGGGTCTTTGTGATCTCCTATCATGATGCAAAAAATAATGCTTACGAAGTGGATAATTCAATTGGTACTAGCGGAAATAATCTTAATACTCGCCATATCCTTACATCCGAGGTCTCATTCGCTCACCCATTGTACTCTGATGTCCCTGTTATGGAGTCGCAAGTCAAAGATGTTATTAGCAAAGCATCCGAAGACAGTTATACTAACTACAAAACCTTTTTATGGATGGGACGGTAGCATACTAACACCTGATGAACCCCGCGACTTCCTTCAAAACTCTACTAAGAAATGAAACAAGCGGTTGCATTTAAATATACGAAATAAACGGAAAGGCTTTCCTCGGAATACTATAATCCTTAATGGATCTAAACCCCCCTATCTGCCACCTACTTCTTATGAGACAAACCTACCTGATCTGCTTGCAAACAGTGAATATTCTTCTTCAAACTTATTAACTGAAGGAGAAGAATCTCTGGCTCTAACCTCACATAATAAACGCCTGCATCCGAAATGGTTACTGAACCTGATCCTAAACAACATAGAGTACATATAGGTACTCTTGAACTCGTACATATAGACACATATTTACCCAGGAAAGATATATGCGAATCTGTTCTATTTTGTTTTTCGTTATACAAGAGATTATTTCATCGCGGACGTTCGTATGTAGAAATGCGGACTCTGGTCAGCTTAAAATATGATCAAATGAGACAAGAAATTAGATTTTAGCTGTATTTTAACAATTTGTTACAAGATCTTTTTCCAATAAGCCCAAGTTTTTCTAAGCGAATTAGGTATGACCCATATACTTGGTTCTATTTGGGACTGTAAGTAGACGTTGTAAATTATTTAATAAATTATATCAATTCTACACTACTACTTGTTCTTTTGGTCTTCCCGCCAATCTCCAAATCGAATGTCTTTCTTTTTTATATAGCTTTTCTTCACACGGAATTTTATTTATAGTAACTGGTGTATTTTCAGGGACAATCTACTTATATCTGTCTACAATGAGGCCGTGTGACCATGAACCGCTGCTACTTATAGTGAAAATATCTAATAGAAAAGCTAGAGATACGTTCTGTGATCGAAGGTATTGAGCCTCTCACCAAGGGGCAGCCCCGATCATCCATACACAAGCCACCACTGCTAAATACCTTTAACTGTCTTATATTTATTTCAGTATTGCAGAATTTAAAGTAATTCCGTCAAAGTTTACATGTATAGGCCCTCGTATCCTGGTCAACAAAGCTTGGACACGATAGAGAATCTCGAATCCATCGCTTTTGACGGTATGGACCAAACAACTTGATGCTAGGTGCTATCACCTTCCGCCTCAAGCTTCCAGCCATTCCAACTGTTGCTGAGAAGGAATTAGTCAAAATCGCAGTGATTTGGGCACCTCTATCCAAACTACTACCTCTATCTGAATATATGGAGGAAGTTCCACTGAAGGTGGAAATTATGCGGATGTTCGTCATCCTCCTGAATCTAGGCCATTTAAGCCTGTGTGTTCTTTTCGGTGATCAACAATCCACGCCGTCTGAGTCTATCGCGACTATCGTTATATTACGGATCAGATGGTGAGCTTAAGGACTGAGCCAATGCCTTCGTTTGGGATTTGCTGAATGGCGAATGGGTCCCGAAGCATCCTGTGTGACTCCTTCTACTAAGGCATGGACGATTGGGTCCGCCAACCTCCGTCCATCGAATATGGGCCACATCACGGTTACCATGCTTTTATAAATCTTAAAGAGGGTGTCGTACGGACCTGCCGTTCCATTCATGCTTATTTGGTCTCCCTGACCTTTCAATATGAATCGCCTTTGCTACGGGATATTTATATTGTTCAGATCGCTGACAATGTTTATCGGCTTGTTGATGATTTCTTTGCCGGTTGTTTTGGTTACATGAAGAAGCTTCCCTTTTCTACCCTGCACCGCTATGCTGGTTTTGTATTCGCTGCTGCTGTTCGTGAAGGAAACGCACCAGATGAAGTATACCAACTATCCAGCCCCTGCCAACAAGCAGGTACAAGACTATCGTGCAGGCCAGAACTTCCGTTCTGCCAGGGGTATCGGCTAAAACTATAACAATCGAGATACTACAAGTAAGAAATGTGGCGATAGGAATCGCCGAGGCCAAGCCAAGCAGGTAGATCAGTACCAGACCAGTGCAACTACGCAAGTTGTTAACGAACATAAAAAATACACTCTGGACTTTCGGGTCAACGTCCCAACTCTCACGAACACAAGGTCTTCCGTTCTTGTACGCCTCTCCCTATCTCGACCAACCCCGGCAAGTCGTCCCAGACTACACTCTAAAAATAGAATGCTATGGATGCGACAAGATTGGTCACCTTGTGCATGTTTGCCCTCAACGCAATGCCTACACTCAAAGGGTGAAATCACGCGGGCCCAATTATGAATCCCTCCTGTCCAGGCGCTCAAGTAATATGTTATGCAGGCGATGGGGCAATATTTAATCTTATCTATAACGACTTCGTCGACATTGATGTACTTAGGCCTATTACAATTGCGTCTGTATTCACGACAACCATCCCACTGCACCAGTGCTCACTAGGGTCTTATTCGAAGTTTATGACCATAATCATTGGAAAACATACTTCGAAAGTTTAGACCTTACATTTTACCGGACGATATTCCCGCCAATTGTGGGATGCTGTAAAGCTTTATTGCGCAGCGTGAAAAATCCATTGGTTACGGATTGTGATTATACACGTCGTCTTTTGGCTTAAAGACTCAATCCACTCACCTCTCTGTGAAACCCACGGGTGTACTAGATATCAATTACGTAGGAGTCCTTATTTCAGTTAAAACTGTTGTAGCAGCTATCCTTGAATTCCATCGCAAATACCGGGACACCCCTGGTGAAGTATAGCAGTATGATTGGACAGGTGTTGACCCCATTTTGCGTATGCTAAAAAAAAACTACTGCGGAAGTCGAAGAACTCTAGAGACGCGTTCAACAAGATTGTTTATGACCCCAATCATCATGTTTTTGTACACAGTTTAAGGTCCACTTACCCCAAGACCGACGCTATCCTCCATTGTAACATATACAAACAGAAGAACCAGGAACCCATTCAGTGGGAATCAGATATTTGTAAACGAGAATTCCGACGGGGAATCATCAAGAAAGGCGACTTCTTCAGCCCATAGATATCCTCTACTGTCTTAGCCAAGAAGGTTCCGCGAGAAGCACAAACATACATCAAACATGTGCGCTATTGCTAAAAATATAAGGCGAATAATGAAAACTTTAGGGTGGATCCTCACCTTATGTCGAGGAAGCAAAAATGCCTCGAGCACGTCCGTCGAGGCGATGTAGTATTTATTCACTATGCACTTGGCTTGCTTTTTTAACCAGCTGAGATATGCAGCCTTTCAGAGACTACCTTGCGTGGATTGTATCTGTAGGAGATGGTTGGCGACTGATTGCTGGTTTCTTTGTGGTTAAAAATATAACTTTCATGCTGCAGTCGGTTACGGACATCAAGTTTAAACACCTCAGTGAAGTCCTGAAGCCTTTCGTCGACGATAGAGCTACGTCTCGTTTGGGTCCACGTGCCTTAACCCACAACTGAATATTAGACACCGTACTTCAAAACACCATTCATGTTTTCTCCGAAACGTTGCTAAGGTTTACTACGGTCGAGTACCTTTTCATAATTACACAACAATCAGCCAAGAGAGACTCGAAGCCATCAAATCGATGCCCCCGCCCAAAGACAGACATGAGGTCGAACTATTTTGCGAAATCCTCAACAAACCCATAAATGCCACATCTCTCCTCATGATGGCCCCTTTTACAAATCCAACAACAGCCAAAAATCGCATGTTGCGTTGCACAGCAGCTCGTCATGCCATATACCAGCTTATTAGGGGGGTCATTCGGGGTACTTTTTATTTGATCAACCCAGAGCCTTCTCACCATCTCTACCTGTATGTAAACACTTACCCTATTGTTTGCCAAGGAAGGATGAAGTTCCAGCTGCTTTTCTCAAAGGTTAGATTCTATCATTCAGTGTCAAACATGCACAGAAGGCAGATACTGCTCTCCAGACGTATATTGAATACCCAGAGGGTCGCAAACGATCATTCCTTCCCTTTAGCTTCCCCTCGCGAAACCCTTCTTGGAAGCCAGATCATAATAGTGACAGGATCTTTCGTCTAGTTGAAAAGCTCTATGGGGACTTGGTTAGCTGGCGATATATCCCAGACGACTGGAATTTTGTCGCCGATATGCTTTCAAGAGGAATTACTGGGATATACTCAATCTTTTACTTCACTGTTAAACATATGTCGTGAGCTACCCCGCTTTATTCTCTTGAACGACTTATTATTGCGGCGCTCAACCTAACTCTTCGGCTTGCAGTGATGAACCCATGTTTCATCCTGCTTGTTTAAAGTACTTGTTGAGGATTATGCGAGCCGTCGCCGTCATCATTTCAAAAGTTATTGTACACAGTCGAACAGTACCATGGGTAAAATATGTTTTGGCTAATCCACCATGAATTCAAGCAAGCAGGTCATTGCACAGCCATTACGATCCTACCCGATTGAACCGATTCTTCTACTTTGCGTCGATTCTTTGAGCTCCTGGTGAGACCACCTATCGTATTAGTTCATGCGCCTGATTCTGTCTTAGTGGATGATGTAGCTCCACTCGGCCGACCCCCGCGGGATTTTACTCTTACTGGACTGATCTTCAGTCGTAGGCGTACTACTCACGTGTCTATCCCCTTGTCTTTCTGGTAAAGACTCAAGACCACAGGGGCACCATCAGGTGTTCTTACCCCTGTCATCCGCCATATCCCTCTTCCCAATATAAAATTACCTAAATGCCGTCCATCATAGGGAAACTTTGATGAAGGAATGGCTACCTCCCTGGGTGATGCCTTACGGCACTCGTTTCAAATGAACCGCCAGCGAAAATGGCCCAAAATATAACCTTTGCACCAAGTGTACAACCATTCGCCTGCCAGTACTCCTCGGTCTTTACTACTACTATACAGAGTGTACTTGCAAGGAGATACGACTCTAATGCCCTACTTGATCGCTCTGAGTTTAAAGATAAAATATGGAGAACGGATAAAGGAATGAAGTATGTATGCATTATCGTACACGTTCTATAGACGGTACGATTACTGAAATAATCTCATACGCTTTTGACAATCATGACTATTTAAAAGCCTTTAATAGAAGATGGTGTAAAGGCCTACATAGGTCACAAGCTGAAAAAGATGCCATATTCCCACCATCCGGAGGCGTCGAAGTTTAAGAAAATCCCGCCAGCAGCATTTATTCTAAGCTTTACAGTGCAACCTTCATATATTCTATAGACATTGAAGTACAAGAAGCGTCCAGTCGACCACCACGAACCTACTTGACCTAACCCAAAATGCACAGGGTAACCAAAAATGCTTTAGAGCTCCCTGCCTGCTAAAATAGGCTGTGTTTCACACTACTTATAAAGTTTTGACCCACTATTCTTTTCTCACTTTTCTGGTTCAAATTTGACTTGAGTGAGCAACTAGCCTCTCATGTCCCTCAAAGCTAGGTGGGGGTCGTGTAATAGCCGAGCCTCCAGATCAGATTCAAAGTATAGAACTCTACTCTCAAGAAGTATTTAACCTAAGTATACCGAATGGTTTTGACAGTATTATAAATACCTTTCCCATTTTACAAATCAGACATTTGGACCAGGCCCATTATAGGACGTTGATTCTCCAAAAGATTTATATCTGAATGCTTTAGTTGAAAGATGGCTCAACTGACAATATGTTTGTAGGGAATATCAACGGTGCCAAGTTTATCTCCGAGCAGTCAACCAGATTGCCAGTCTAATGTGGGCGAGCCTTAATTCCTGATGCGTGGCTAGCCGTTGGTTAATACCTTTTTTCTTTCTTTTTCTTCCTTTTCAATAGATATATGATTTTCTTTGGTTAATATCTTCGCAAGACGAAAGCTATTGATCACAGTAACAAAAATTGTTCACTATGCATAAACCATGGTTGAATAGCGGAGGCTCAACAAGGTTTATCTGGAAGCAACCAAGGAGAGACTCTAAAACTCAGAGAAGGACGAAGAATTAATACATATGAAAATTAATCGGGAGTACGGGATCATCAATGGGAAATCTATAATGGCACAGGACATCCCAATATCGGAGGAGTACAACTTTAGACACATAAGGCCAACGATTACGATCGAAGACACGATCAGTTGAAGGCGTGACGACGCTGCCTTTGGCCTAACGCGTCTTGGGTCAGGCGTAGTCCTTGCGGTATCCTAATATATACAACGGTTCATTTTCCGATTAAGTATGCATTTTAGGCGAGTCAAATTGTGAGACATGCACATTCCTTATTGGCTGTCAGTGTCAGACAAATTCGGATAGTCTTCTTCTGACTACCTTGGCGTCACTCTATTCGAAATCCACTCCTTCGACAGCATTGTATCCAGCTACGGTCAGTTGTCTTTTAAAACGCTCGATTTTACCGGTAGAATACATTTTTTTTTGGGAGTAAAGGCCCACTTAGAATTATAATCGCGCCTTTTGCAGGTTTGGAGTCTACAAGAGTAAAAGTGCCCCGGTACACTAGGTCCCGGACATCTTTGGTCGCTGCATCCATCCACTCCTTTTTATTGGAAAAATTCTCAATTTCACTGAAGGTCTTGGGAATTGGAATCTACGCCGGCTTTGGTTGTTGTTGGGTAGTTGAAAACGCGGTTGTTGAGTTCCAGTTTCATCGAGAGCTACCATTGTTACTGCACATCCAGTCTGGGTTATCGGTAATTTGTAAATTCGTAACCTCTCTCGAAGATCGGCGGTTTAGGGGTTGGTTTAGGATTTCCGGCGTCACTCAATTGCCCTGAGTGAGTTGCAATTTCAATAGCCCCGTCAGCTAGGTGTACATTTGTGAAGTGACGTTTTTCGTTTGATATCAAATCCAAATCGTTATTAAAGTAGACTGAGGCTCCACTGTTCAGAGTCCCACAAGGTTCAGCTGTTGTCGCATTATCGGCGGTATATGCTTATTGATTGAAAATCTACTCAAGCCTATAGCTTTGATAGAATGACAGGCGAAGAAATGACATCTTCATAAAATTTATCAATAAAGGCTTCATCTTCGGAGTTGCTGTCGTAAATAAGTTCGGATAGGTCATCATCGTCATCCTCACTAGAGCTGTCGGATAGAAGTCCCGGCGGTCCATCGTCTTTGTCAGAACTACAAATAGGATTATTTAGAATAAAACACGACAGTTCTCCCTCATTCGACCCGGTACTTGGCTTTATCACAAATCCGGGGCAATTTTCGGGGGGTTGCCATGATAGCATGTTGGATTCGTCATAGTCGACAACTGCTGAGAATGTACTAACGCCTTCATCGTCACTACTTGAAGCCTGATCACCACTCTTGCCCAAATTGAACGCTACTTTAGGGGTTTCAGTAGTATCCTCTTACGTCAGATGCTTTTCTGTAAAACTCGTTACGTTTATCCTTGTGGTAGTGGGGTTCTCTCGGCAGATAGCCGGAACATCGTGAGTAGGGTGAAGACTTCGGTGTCGAATAGTCTTTGCGGTATTATCAGACTCATCAGCTCTATCACGGTTATGTCGTTCGTCAAAATCTTTTCCACAATTGTCGGAGTATCGGTTTTCATATGGTTTACGATATTCCTTGCGGTCAGAGTAATTGCTGAAATTCTGGTTTGGGCTGGGTCTGCGATGTTTGGATCGGCAATCGCGAGCAAATTACCAGGCTTATTGCAATTGAAGCACTGTCGCTCTGTTTTAGCTAAAAGTGCCCTTTCTCCTCCTCGAGATTCGGTGTTAGTGGTTGACGTTTGGATTTCTTCCATTTCGAATTTTCCAAGGTACTCACAGAGCTCCTCGTAGCTCATAATATAAGTGTCGACTGTTTTAAGGTGAGCTCTGGCTGCATTTAAACGTTCATTGAGACCCTCCTTCAAGACTGTCTTCAAGTCAATCTCAGGTGGTGGGGCCTCGCGTTTCTCGAATTCCATTTTCTTCAAATTAATATCCCCGATAAAAACTTCCAAAGTTTTGTTATTCTTCTGCGTTTTTGCCCAAAGCTCTTTTTTCAAACGTCCGATTCCTCCTTGGGTGTTGACCTTGAATTTGGGTTTCAGAGCCTTGAAAAACGTGTAGGGTTCTTTCATGATATAAAAAAACTCCTGTTGAAGTCGTCGAGAGATGGTATGATAAATTGACTTAGACGCAGCTCCAAGATCCTCTTGAGTAAACGTTTCGCGTTGAGTTTCAAAGTTATCATCGGGCTTTGTAGCGACTTCGATCTGTTGCAGGATGTCCAATTGAGCTTTCCATTGGCCCCACTGGACCGGCTTATCCAATATTAGGAATTTAACCTTTGGTTTCAAATCAAAGCTTGCCATGTTTCAAAGTGGAGATAAAACAGACCTGATAAGTTATTGTTCTCAGATATAAGAGTTGCTTAAAGTGTTTGAGGTTTAAGTCAACAGCCATGATTTATTTGGTTCGAGTCCTTGCTTTTATATACATTGGACTCCTGACCCTTGAGCCGTTAAAAAACACCTTGAAAGGTGAAAAGGTTCTCACTTAATATATGACCCAATCCAAAGGCAGCGTCGTCACGCCTTCAACTGATCGAGTCTTTTATCGCAATCTTTGGCCTTATGTGTCTTAAGCTGTACTCCTCCGATATTGGGATGTCCTGTGCCCATTCTAAATTTCCCATATTGATGATCCCGCACTCCCGTCAATTCGGTTTAGAGATCAATTTCCATCTGTATCAATTACGTGTCCTTCTCTGAGTTTTAGAGTCTCTCCTTGATTGTTTCCAGGATAAACTTTGTTGAGCCTCCGCTGTTCAACCGTGGAATATGTTTAGAAAACAATCCTTGTTTACTGTGATCAATAAAAACAAAAATAACAGTAGTTTAGCTATTGCCAATCAGTTTGTGTTAATTCCCTGCGCATTGAAGTATATGTATCTGTTTATTGGATTGTTTTCTATTCTTTTGCCTATAGCTTCGTTCCCATTGATCGATTTTTATTTAAGTTTGATGTCGCATTCTATACGGTTGCTTGTCAATCGTTTTTAGATATCTTTGAGTTCATCTTTCTTTGGAAATTGTACTTACGATAAGATTGCATGTTATGACTAACTCGCCTTCCAAAATCTTTCGGTATGCCACTATAATTTTAAATACTATTAGAAAACTTATGCTTGAAGATAAATTTGATGATTGAGATCTACCACGACAGGAATTTCCA